CTTCTACCAACATTGGCTGTTTCACAGCCATTCAGTAGAACAGAGCGAACTGCAGCACACAACCCCTAATCCGAAATTGGATACTGCAGTGGCGCTACAGATGGTATAACTCGGCGAAAGCTAATCGGGCCACTTGTATCTGTGTAGAGATTTCGTCAGCCACTGACCCACTACGGCTGATCCAACTTTTCAGGTAAGTGAAGTGTTGAATACACTCAACCACCCCACTCTCTAGTGGCATCCAGGGCAACGCTGGAGACTAGTCCTGGGGTAACAACCGGTAACTCAACAGTTCTTAACATATCATCCCCACTATGGAACCCTTCCTCCACTTATTCGTAGTGCAACACATACTGTGAGCAACAAAAGCAGATAGATGAAAACAAATGTTTATTAACATGTTAAAAAAATTAGGAAAACAATTCTAAGCACAATTAAGATAGATAGATAGATATCAAAACAAAATGTGGAACCGATGCAGGAAGAAAACAGTTGAAAAGTCATTCCACTTCATTACATAAAATCAAAACAACTTAAGGAGAACACACAAAGCATAGCAAATTAAACAATGATACTCACCGAGTACATAAGTGCACACACACACACACACACACACACACACACAGGAACCAGCAAAAACAACACAGAATCAATTGTGCTTACCCCAAAAACAGAAAAAACAAAACAATAGTAAACGTGTGCAGAATGCAGTGCAGCCAAGGCAATGGGTGCGGAGAAACCAGTGAAAATGTTGAGATTATAATAGAAAACTTTATGTTGTGTGTGTGTACATACACAATTCTAAAGATGACGTTGGTGATGAGGTTAGATTCATCACGTCCGGGTAAAAACAAACGAAAGTTGATCCATTCAACAAAATCATTATTATAAGACACTTCACCACCGCTTCACAAGATACAAAGATAAGAAAGGAAGACGAGCCGACTAGTTGATATGCGTTTCGCATAAATACATATAAATATATATATAGAGAGAGAGACATATACGCAGTATATTATCAATGGATTCTTGTTCACTAATACATGAGTACGCAAAGTAACGAGATTTGATATGGATAAGGCATCAGTTGAAATAGACGAATGGGAGAGAAAATACAATAACAAATATATCGTCCGGCAATTGACCATTAACGAGAAACATTTGCTAACTCAGTGTTTATCTGAAAACAATACACCGATGATAATTGTAATGATAATAATAGTAATAATAACAAAAATAACAAGAAAAACATGAGTAAGTATTACATTAACAAAATAATACAACTAGTCTATTGTTAGGCATGACAACTGATGAGTTAATGATGATGACTTCGGCTAACACAGGCACGATAAGAAAATTGCACCAAAGCAAAACAATTACAGAAAAGAAACAGCAGTTGTTGTTTATACAGAGGTATTTCGTTGACTTCATAAACTTGAATGTGTGTGTGTGTAAAGTTAGACCTTTATCGACCATAAAAAATGTTTCAACTGTGAAATAGATGGAGGCGTGGCTCGTTGATTTACAACTAGTGGGTCACGGGCTCGAGCCCTGTTCCACCTACCGAGGTTCGCGCATATTGCCTATTACACGGATGTGCACAAGGTTGGTAAGTGTATTCCAGTCCACTAAGTAAATGACAAATATTTGAAACACACAGAGATCTGCGCAACTCCGTGGATGTACAGCTGTGAATACGAAGATTTTTTTTCACAACCTTTTTTTAAGATTCGTACATTGAAAATGGTTTAAAGTGACTAGCAGTGGAAGCCAAGATGCACGTTTCGTCCGATTTAGGATACAGTCGTCAGCTGGATGTACCTGTACCCTATTGAGTGATGTTGTTCCCACCGAGACTCGAATCCAGTACCTATCGAAACCAACGGCTACTGGAGCTCTGAACCACCACTTGTGCAAACCGGCATCAGTTGCTGTTTACCTACACAGGGTCGAACTGCTTGACCTCGGTTGGTAGATAGGCTCCTCTGCATAGAATGAATTGAAAACCAGAATTCATAAAGGTCAGAAAGGGTGATATCAGCAAAGTCGAACTAGAGTCAGTTTGGCAGAATTCATTCTCTCATTTCCCTTGAAAAAATTCAGTAACACTTATGTATTCTTTCATTGTTCTTTCTTTTTTAATATGTCCGACCACTTTAATAAGAATTCGAGTGATTTTTTTTAAAAAGAAACGACATCAAATTAGATGTTATAGGTTGTAATTTCCCGTGGTTGACTGAACCGAATTAATTAGTCACTATTTGCATATGGACTCTTATGCAGATGCCTTGGTATCGTTTGCATTTTCAGAGTCAAACTAATGTTAGTAACTAGCAGTGGGATCCATAAGGCGCGTTCCGTCTTATTTGGGACTCTTCAGCCGGATGTACCTGCACTTACTAGTTGTAACATTTAAACTATATTGCGATGTTATGACTTAGTGGTCTAATGAATAACGCTCTGATGTTTGAAGTGACTGACTCTAGGTTCGAGTCCTAGTGGGAACATCACTCACTAGGAGGCAGGTGCATCTTACTAACGAGTTGCAAAGCGAACGAAATACGCATCCTAGATTTCACTGCTAGACACCGACCATCATTAGTACCAAAAGATATCGGATCAAGCGACAGCAAAGCGTCATGAATTCGACGCAGTCGAGTGAAACTCTACCTAAGTGAAGTGAAATTAAGGTTTGGTCAACAGCTGGGTCTCGTACTACATTTGCTAGAGCAGCAGACCAGTAACCCGAAGGCTGCTGCTTTGGTACGGCTACAACCCAGATTTTCATTTCACCCCCAATCATCACCCAGCACCAATAATACAAGTCTGTTGGACCATGGCTATCTCAGATAGTTAAGCTGAATATTGAAATGATAGAGGAAAGTTTCAGACTAGGTAAGCGCTGAATGGGGCTGTTTATTTAACTGAGGTTCCATTTTCACCTTCAGAGATGAAGACAGTGTACGAAACTCAGGTTCACGTGAAATTAACCAGAAAAAGTGATGATCGAACAGTTATATGAAAACTAAATTCGACCGATATTGCAGAAAATGGAGAACAGAATACACATCGTACCGGATCTTTTTGCTGTGTTCTATCGATAACAAGTTTATAGCGGTCTAAAAAGAATTAAACGGTATGCGACTAACTGAGCAACGGTCCAGCATTAACGTAGAAAGACGGAAGGCAGATATGCACAGGAAATCTTCTACCATTTCGAGAGAGATCGAGATTGATTACAATATTAGTGTATCAGTATATGACTTTTGGACTTTGTTCAGATAACTTTGCGTTCTGGTGACCGGTGTTGTGTATTCATGTTTAGTTTTATTGTACGCAACAAATTTCGTGACTGCACTACGTTTACAGGGTTTTGACGACAGATGTCTTCGTATCATTGCTCCCGTTCGGCGGAATCACCATGCGAGCAATGTTGAGGTCAGGGGAAGGGTAACAGGCAAGTCAGATGATTGGTGAGGCTGTGAACCTTGGTCAACTGAGATGGCTTGGACATGTGCTCCACATCCTGAGTCACCGGCTACCTCAACGTGCCGTGCTAGGGGAAGTTGGATTAAGTTGAAAGAAGGCTCATTAAAATCAGATCAAGACGTGGGATTACTCGATGAAATCCCTGACTGTAACGCTACACCACAAATGTATAATATACAAGTGGTATTCAGCAGCCAAATATATACTTCGTATTAGTATAGTGAATGACAGTTCTGTCACGTTTAGTAGTCATTCAGACGGTTATTCGCTTGACTTTGATAGGTAAAGGCATTTTCTTTTATGGGTCGACAATTCAATTGGTTGAAGGCATAATGTCTACAGAAACAAACTCAGATCTAGTTTTCAAACGCAGATCAATATGACTGCACCACGATCAGGAAACATTCATGTGTTGCTGTAGACAGTAATATAATCAATACTTTCCGGCTACTAAGTTATGAAAAGCAACCTTCTCTTAACTAAAGTGGAGAAATATGATTGATTTTTACTGCTATATGAAGTGACATCAATACTAGTGGGAAGCAAATAAACCAAACCAGCTTAGAAGAGGTTTAAATACTGTGCAACAAGTAAGCTATTGTATTTTGAAAAGTCCCCTGCATACTCGAGTTCTGTTGTTATCATTGAATGGATACAGGATAAAACGATTAAATGATAAAACAATCCAAAAAATGAATGATAAAACATCAATCAAAGACCGCAATAAAAATAAAGCGCTTGAAAACCAATATGGAATATCGTTCAATAAGATCAATTTAGAAAAGCAGTGAGGAAGAACTTTTAACGGCCACGGTGGCAAAACAAAGAGGGTTACAGATACTATCATTGTGTCACACGCATGAACGAAGGTGGACCGGCTTCCAATGACGTGTGATTTCTCATCTAATAATGACTGATTTCCTTGTTTCAAAGGCCATTACTAAAAATAATGCCCGAGTGCTTCCGTTACAATGACTCCCGTGATTCTTCAGACAACATTAACTAGCAAGCCATGAGAATCTACAAGAGCACCGCCACAATTTTACAGCCCACACCTCATCTTTAGATATTGGAAAATTAAGTTGTCATGAACAGAAGTTTTGATAAGCTATAGATGATAAATTGCCTTCCAATTCAAATAGTCAACAACAAAATGAGATCTGCCACTATTGTGTAAGGGTTGAAGTTGCTAAATCTCACATCAGCTTAGATAACCTTGGAAGTATAGAACAAAGAGAACTGGCAAGCACTACAACCATTGCTCTACGAATACCAATATCACAAACCAGCATTCCTTATTGTAAATTTGGATTTATACCTTAAAGGATTTACAGAATTCGCCAGAGATGATGGAAGCATGTAACGACACAATAGGAAGAAGCACCTGAATTTACCATAAAAAAGTAACTAACCTGTTGCTTGCTGACAACAGTGAAGGTCGAATCTCGTGGAAGGACAATCATCTGAATAAAATATGTTAACATGAATAATTTAGCGTAAATTATATTTTGCTAGGATGACCGCAGCATAGAGAAAAGGTTGACAGCATTTACAGGAGGTGGTGGTGGAGGCGGTGGCGGTAACGGCAAACTAAGATCTAAAGATGGTACTCTTGAAGGCTTCAGACCGCCTAAGTGAGCTGAATGACGCATAACATTATTGCCTGTTTCAGTTGATTCAGGTAACACGGAAGTTGTATTCAAAAAGGAATTTCTTTTACTCGATTTCGTTGCAGTTGATAATATTGGTTCCGGATTGGTAACAGAATAGGAAATTGTGGAATTGATACATATGTTGGATGGAACTAGAGTATCTGCTGACAATGAAGTATTGTTATTCGACAACTTTGGTAGGTCTATCAGTTTTAAGTGCACTGGTAGAGACTGGTGATCCAGAAGACCTAGAGCACTAGACACCTTTACAAAGAAGACAGAATGAATAAAAAACACAAAATAAACCACTTAGGTTACGGATAAGGAGAGGATTCAAAGTTGGTCACAGTGGTAAATAAATGGTCAAATGTATATTCTTAGAATATTCTTGATAACATTACTTTCACTTACTTGTCTTCCCTCCGATTGATTTTCTCTCACTTGTATGAAATATGAAAAAGTTAGACCAATGCGTAGCTATAACAGTTGTTGGATTATTGGTGCTTGCAGTTATTTACACAGTAAGATTTTATTCATCTGAGCGAATACAGCAAAATCATTGAAGGTGATTGGAAAAAAAGAAAAGTATCTAGCGTGGTAACTTGTTGAGATTTATCGGCGTCTGGTAAGCATGAAAATGTCAGCCAGCGTCTGTACATTTGTCGCTGATAGCTCGTACCATTATTTTCGCAACAAATGTGTAGCATTATATTGAATCAGATAATATACTTATACTACATCTTCACAAGCGTGCATTTGAATTGTAGCTAAAACTTTGATGTTTACAAAATTTACAGGATTTGCCGGGTAATATACGAATGAGCTTTAAATAACGGGATTTCGAGATGTGTATCTGTATGCTATGAAAACGCGAATGGTATAAACGCATGTATAAATGCCTGACACATTAAATCCTTAAAGTATTTAACATATCAAATGACAATCCGGTAACTTATATTTTATAAATCGTGGTGGTATCGCATACTTTGACGGCGAACTACAATAATTTCATAATGGAAGTTAACAGAAAAGTGGTATACACGACAAATTAAAATGCATCACGAGTGTAGCTGCATTCCAAAATCCTTGAGGGGTAAGTCAGTCGGTTAGTTTGGAGTCGATAAACCTCAAATTTCATCCACATGAAATAAGTGCTTACTTCATCTACTGCTGAAAGGCACGGCGAACGGGATCGGGATCTTGTTGATCCACTAGAATTACTAGTGTTTAGGCCTCTGCAAACTGAGATTAATGGTTTTGTTGGATTACAACCGAACCTGGGATTAAAAGCAATACTTTAAAACTGCTCATCTTCAGAAAGTACAAGAAACTTTAGGATGACATTCACGTGTCTCATTGGCTTAGGCAGTTCATTATCAACCAGTGGTCACGGGTTCCAACCCCGCATGATTTACTAGGGTTTGGGCAGCCGGATAGAATCATCAGTCTTGCCACAATAAGTGCGGTTCATTATCTACTGCAAGAAGATGCACAAGATTGCTGAGTGCGTTTTGTTCGTTTGTCATGTGGTCATTTGATTCCTCATGAGCTAGAACTTATCAAACTGAAAATTGTAGCGGAAACAATTGATATCTAAGGGAATGACTTCACTTGTATGTCCATACCAAACAAACAAGGTCTCAGTAATGATATCAGTACTGCACATTTGTAAGTTGAGACTACACGACGTCAAAGTAAGATATAATACAACTTGGAAGTGAGAATTCAAGAAGCGAATAAGTCATGATGTCCATATAGACGTTAAGTATTTCCATACAAACACTATGGTATTTAACATACGTTTATGCAAATCCGCTCGAACAGCGACAGGTTAGTTGCACTCAAGTGTTAAGACTGATTTTGTGCCACTGATTTCGCTTTCCGCAGAACCGATGGGCCTTCTCGAGGTACAGGTTAACATATCCCAGCACCATGGTCTGAATTTAACTGGAGTCAACTTATATATAGAACCAAGCCACAGACAGCTTACGCCTTAGTAGATAAGCTGACAAAATCACGATAGTTTTTTCTTCGTTAGCACTTGTGAGCACACGACATATCTCAGAATACCAAAAAAGCTGTCCGCAGTCAGTACTAAGCCCACTTGGTTTAACCTGTAAGGATGGTAAATTCAGCCACTTTATTACCGATAAACATTAATCACATAGTAAGAATAACAGTTATCAGTTTATCAATCCAGACTACTTTTAAGGTGAATTTATGGAGTTATTATAGGAAGTCATGGACTCAATGTCCTTATCAGCAGCAACAAAGAAGTCGATTATTTACCACGCCATGATTACATTTTTACATAAATAGTATGACAAGATCTGAAAGCAAATATTTAAGAGAGGTCTCCTTCAACTATATCTGCTCTGGTCTCACCTGCTAAGAAAGATTGCCATAGTTTTAGCGAACTAACATTGAAAGCTAGGAAGGTACCTTGTCAATGGCCCGTAAACCACATGGTGGAACTGTCAAGAAAGGATTCTAGAAGTGCATGCGAAGGAAAATAGCAACTTTCCATTGTCATAAAATCAATAACTCTTTCAAAGACAAGTGACAGTAACAAGTTTGTCAAGTTTACAATAAAGTAGAAAAAACTCGGAATAGCATTCAAAGTACATCTTTGGTTCTGAAACCAAGAAAAACGTAAGGTTTGACAACTCCCAAAGACAAAGCCTGTATCTGCGACTTATATTTTGGATCAATTACTGGAAGTCATTACACTCTCTCAAATAATGAAAATAGGCTCTGAACAACCGAAAGGATGTGATTTCATGTGGATAAATACATATGTAGTGTCAAAATTCTTATCATTTACAACATTTTCACATCTATACATACAACCAAATTCCTGCAGTAATACCAATCCTTGTCAGTATGAATTGTAAACAGAAGAGAATTTATTGTGCCTGAAAAATCTTAGCGATTGTGTTGAAAACCCGAAGTACATTGTAGAAAGACAAATATTTGAGATAGATAACAAAACCGTGACGGATAGTGACAGCAGCGTTCACTTGAAAACATATCAGGATCGGGATACATGCAGACCTAAACACAGAAACATAAAGATCGGTACTGGTTCAACGACGTTAAGTCGTCGAACTGCATTTTGGGCATCAAGTTTTACATACACTTAAACTATGTGGATGACCCCACAAAAAGAGTACCTTTGCCAAAATAAGGAGCAGAGTAGTTTCTGTATACCAGACATCGATCACACTAGATACCAGCACACTTCACCCAATATTTAGAGGCGGGCCAAATTTTTGTAGTACTGTAGACTATGAGGACTGTCGTGAGCGTCTTAGTCTCTTAAACCTAAATCTGTGAACCGAATTTCTCAAGAATCAAAACTACAAAAACACCCAAAAAAAACTGAACGCGAAGTCAAAAAGAGAGTGGATTCAACGTATATGGAGTTAAGATATGCAAAAGATACCTACATCATCTTCATAAAGTGCTGAGCTCCCCATGTGTGAAACATGCCGAAAGTCGATTGGATTACCAATTGAGTATCGATCAATTTTCACTCGTCTCTACAAATAAACGCCTAACAGAAGTAACCTTACAGTTGATACAACATTTGGAATACAACAGAACATTTTAAGCCATTCGGAACCGCATAAAGTATCCAGTGTGTTATTGAATCAACATTTGCATCGAACAGTGAATTACAGTTCGAACATAGCGCGTATAACTTGAGGGTCAGAAAAGTAGTACAGTAAAACCCATTTTACAGCAATCTGTGAAATTGCAAACCAGCGTTGAACTTTTTCATATTTTCTAACTGCCTAAAAGAGTAACAAAGTAGAATCCGGGATCTGCTCTCGTGATTTTGAAAATGAATCTCGCGTATGGAGTTATTCTAATTTTTTTACCAACTAATTTCAAGAATGAAAAAGAGTAATCTTCGGTGGCAGCTTACTCCATCTGGCCGCGTTTTATGTGTGTCGCGGTAGACTTAACACACAAAGGTAACCCTTCATCAACTCCTTTTGCTACTAAGTTTCCGGTGTCCAATATTGATAGTGCGAGCGTAGAAAACCGATAGCTTTTGATCTTCTGCGTTCAGTTAGTTTCGGTTCACTCCTGTAGTGGAAGAGGAAATCCCCCCTGCTTCCTTGCCTTTAGTTTCGGTGAAGTGGATGTTTTGTGGGTTTGTAGCTGCAATTTTTATAGTGAATGGGAACCATGGGTTGCTGGGACGGTTACGGTACTGTCGTAACCTCCGCCTGTGTAGGTGCCCGGATGAGAACAGTAAAGTAGAGGTAGGGCAGAAAAGAAGAGAGGAAAATAAAAAAGTAGGTGAGAGTTGCCCGAAAGGCAAAAGCGGATAGCCTAGGTCTATTTTCTAGAGAATAATTGGTAGGTAATGTGTGTATTAAAGAAAGAGATGGGGAGTGGCAGGTAGGAGGGAAGCGAGGGTGCGCCAGTTAGGTCAGTGACTCTCTGAGTACGTCCATGGTAGACCATGCAAAGTGACAACTATCTAGCCGTACCTTGAATCAGTCGACTGATGACATATCTCGGTAGAGCGTTCCACAAAGCACGTACTGTCAGGGAGAAAGAGTTGGACCTGAGTGTGGTATTGGATCTCTGATGTGCTATCTTAATGGGGGTTTCCTCGTGATGACTGCTGTGTTGCTGGTAAGGCTAATTTGTTTACGTGGTTTGTCTGATGAGCGCTCTTGCAGGCCATAATGATGTCACCCCTCTTCCTGAGATAACCCAAAGTGAATAGGTTCAGGTGCTTTAGTCCTTCGAGATATGACTTACCCCCTAGCTCCACAGCTGAGTTCGATGCAAATCTTCGTATTCTGTTAGGAAGGTTAGGGTGTTCGGGGGGGCTACCTTACTGAAGACCTCTAGGTGCGTCCTCACGTGGGATTTGAAGACAGTGAGGAAAAGTTCGTGGGTGAGGGCATCAAGCTGTCTACGAAGAAATGGCAAAATGGCGTTCGCTCTGGTAGCCATATCCTTGTAGTTGGAGCTGGCGTACAAGGTGTCGGAGAAGTTGGGCGCCTAATCCTTTCTCCTGGACACTCCGGTGATATCACGGTTGCTCAACATGTACTGGAAGTCGGCCGTCCTCGCTTCATATTTACTGATGTGCATTACTTTGCACCTTTCCAGGTTGAAGCTCAAGCCGTTTCCGGCGACCAGAGTTCGAGTTGCTGCAAGTCCCTTTGTAGTACTATTCAGTCGGCTTCCTCGTTCTCTACCCCCACATTCTAATGTCGTCAGCGGAGAGGAAGATGAGTAGGGATATTTTGTCCAGCAGATCATTGACAAACAGGAGGAATAGAAGTGGTCACAGTATTGCTCCTTGGAATACTCCTGACGCCAGTGGTCTCCATGCCGACCTGATTCTCTTTGCTCTGGTGCAGAACTGCCTCCCTTTCAGGCACTCCTTGAACCAGGGGAATGGGGGTTAGCTCATACCGGCTGACGTGATCTTCTGTGGCGGGACTGTGGGTGGGACACTGTCAAGTACTTTGGCTAGGTCGAGAAAAACAACATGTACCGGTTTTCTGCTATCCCAGCTAAGTGTCCCGTGGTCCCGGGTGGTTAGTAAGTTGGTGGTGCGTGAGCGACTACTCCAAAGTCCATGCCGGGCAGCATGTCGTAAGCAGTCAGTGTGGACTTGGCCTCATTACCAAGCTGGGCACGGGAGTGTGAGCTCAGGAGATCAGCAATCCCCAGACTGCTTAGCACACTCCCATCAGGACCTGTAATAAGTTCGACCTACTGCGAACGACAACATCCACTCTCAGTATCGCTATTATGGGAAACTAATGAATTTTAGTCTTCAGATTTAGTTCTTAAGACTTGATTCCTGTTATCCGCCTTGTTCGTTATATTGCTTCTATGGATTTCTTTTTACAACTTGCAGTTTGCATTTGTTGTGGAGCTGTGGGCCAATGAAAATAAAAGGGGTCTTTTTCCGTCCCGTGTTTGCATGGACTGCTGAAAGTGGATAAACGAACAAAATAGTAAAACTAAATGGGATGTCTCCAAAGACTTACATTTGGTAGCATGAACATGACTCGAATACTCAGTGGAATGGCAAGTTAAAAATAGGCATCTTACAACTGAAGAGAGATGTGGTTTGCGGCAAGTGGCAAATGGAAGAAGTTTGGCTAAGATTTCATTTTTACAGTGAGCCGTCTACTTTCTTTCTTTTCTTAGGCATGATATCCAAAACTTCCTGAACTGAGTATCCGACCAACCACCTATTTTTGTAACAGGCATTCGCTGCTTCATTTGCTGACGGAGGTGATCTTTAAATATATCAGAAATGAGAGTCTCCCCAAACATTCACCGTCATACATGGAGGCATTTATGAAGTTAGTAGCACCGTGTGTACGTTGCTCGTGCGCCAAGTGTGCTGACACTGCTGTCTAACCTCGTTAGCTGAAAAAGCTGTTGCTGTACCCCATGATAATGCATTCCATTAGGCGCGTATACCTAGCGAGAGGAAATTTTCCATGAGCTTGATTTGGCATTTTGACACCGCCTTCGGCGGGAAAAACAACTGGCGACAGCCCTTGTCTGTAAAGTCTGTGTACCCACATGACCTTTTAGGTGGACCATCTCATTGGTAATGGAAATATTTCGCCTTTTTCGTGAGAGATTAGGGGGGATACAGCTAATTGTCTTAGTCTGTTGGCGCAAGTTCTTTATCTTGGTCTGATAACTCCCCCACTCTGGTGCTGACTTGTTCTGAAGGCTTCAGGTGATATTTTGCCTTTTCATGAAATGAAGGCAACTTTACTGCAGGACCCGGTATTATTTATATTGCGTGAAAACTGTGGTATTTGATTGGTACCCAGCAGCGGCTGCTACAGACTCACTTTCTAAGAAGTATAAAGGCTAATGGAGTCTAAAGCAAACAGGCTACAGTACTATAGACGTTTAGCAGTTTCTAAAGAACCCTTTTTATGATGAAATAGTTCAAATGAACATGCTTAACTATATAACCACATTGTTTACATCCTCTCTCACATTGGCTCTGATCGTTCGGATGTGTTTCCGGCCATAAAGACTGCTTGTTACCCTCCTAATGGTGGACGGTTTATGCCAAAGATTAACATATTGTGAAGTCAATGTTCTGATACACGTTCCACGGAAATGATAATATATTTCCCGAGCAAAAGAAGTTGCACGAAAACATACAATGAATGCCATAGCCGGGAAAGCTAAGTAGGGGGAAAAATGATCTTAGATAACACTCTCATGGTTGGAAATTTTGCTTCCTTCTCTGCCTGCTGCTTTGTCTGCTTTTTTCTCGTTGTAGAGAAGCTATTCAGTTCTAAATGTTGGCTTGGTCGTAATTGAGGATTAAGTTTTTAAGGAACAGACCTTGGCTCAAAAAACTACATTTATGGAGGGTAACCAGTTTTACCACGTCCAGAATACCCAACTGCAACAAGCAGAAATTAAAAGCGTTCACTGGACTACAACTTCATATTATCTAAATCTAGGATTTACCCGCCATAAAAGCAATTAAGAGAGTTCAACACTTACCGACCGCAAGGCTGCCACTACCAGTGAAAACGGTGAACAAAATGTCCTGGAAGTTCACTTGGCGCATTCAAACAAGTCTATTGCTTCTGGATGCCGGGGTTGGAAGAGTGAAGATATCTAGCTCTCAGCCGTAATCTTCATCAACATTACGAACATCTGGTGTGGAGTGGTATGGAAATGCATGAACAGTTCTGGAATCATCAGTGAAGTATGATGAGTAAACAATTTGTGCCTACACTCCCTCATAAAATTTTCGTCACTATCTCAAGCGAAAAGTACAAACTGTTGCAGTGGGAATGTTAACTTGAAGCTTAATTTTTTCCAGGCAGAAAATGCAGTGTCGAGATACAAACCTGGTTTTTTTGTTGATGCGAAGACAATATTTCCACTTGTCCAACCTGTAAATTTCTGCAGACTTATTTTTGCTGGGATGTTCTATCATATGAACACGCAGCAATTACATCTTTTGGTGACGATAGGCGGGATTGAGATTAGCTTCCATGAAGATACATGTAATTTATATAGAAACTTATTAATTCCCGCAAAAATGGTGTGTGCCTATATACTCAGGAGCAAATATCATCACCATACTGGTTTCACAGAAATCGTCAGAATTCTCTTTTAAGTTCATGATCATGAGCCGTAGCACACAAAATATTATGAGACACTAAGATATGTAAAATGGGTCAGCGTTTAAGACGTTAAAGTCTGGCAGACAAAGCAGAATCCAGCTGCAAATCACTGGCATCATAGCATAATAGAGAGGATTAAATCTCTACCGGAAAGCGGCAGAGTCCAGTTACCACAAACTTTAATCATTCTGCAAGACGCCATAGGGAGTATTAGGAAATTAACCGTTGTACGCGAGCTAGTTAAATAAATACTGTGCATTTGAACAGGGCTATTGCGGCGAGGCTGGGATGGCTGCGACAAATGCTGCCTTAAAAGTTTTGCAGTCTTTATATCAGTTACAAATTTTGAATGGTACTAAATGCAGCAGGCTCCTACGATTTTCGGAATTCCCTGTAAATGAAAAGGTGATATAACGGACCCCAAAAAAGAAAACGGAAGGCAA